CTAACTAAGACACCAGGTGACTTTGTGTATTCAGTTGGATGCAAATTTGTTGCAAGTAGAAACTTGAAAGATATTGTATATGAAAGGACCAAGCAGACACCATAACAGGCTGTTCAGTCTTCTCTCAGAGATCAGGCCTCAATTTCAGTTTCCTGAGACTGAGCAAGAAGTTTTCTGAGGAAGAGCCACAAGCAAAGGATGAGGAGGCATACCAGGCCTGAGCCACAGTCAGCAGATATCCAAATAAGGACAAAGACTGGGACTTGTCCAGGCCTGCCTAAAAATGGAAAAGCTATAGCCTTAACCAAACCCTGATTAGTCCTGCCCAATTAAATGTACTAATATTATTGCTACTTGCTTAAGTCAATCGTATCTAAAATGACCTAACTGCCCTAGGAACTCCCCTTAGCTGTGCTTAAATGGAGCCTGTATGTCGCTCTCGGGGTTGCTGACGTTTTGCTTTTGTGTAGGATGGTCAGCCCCAGCATGCTGGAAACTTTCTCAAGATAATAAATGCTCTTACTGATTGCATATGTGGATGGTCGTCTTTAGTCAGACATCTCCAGAACCCTAACAGCATGCTGGGTTTATCTTCTCCTGTTATGCCCAGAACCACTTTCTCACAGTGTGGAGAAGCCCAGGCCAGCTTGATGAGAGACACATTGTACAGTCCCAGATCCACAGAGCAGAGCCTTTAGCTGATAGCAGCTTATCACAGACACCAGTGGGCCCATGGGAAACACACAGAATGGCCCCATAGAGCCCTCATCAAATTCCGTATCATAAATTCTAAGTTTAAAGCTGTTTTATAAGCAACTATTTTTGAAGGGAGGGGGTAACTTATTACACTAACTACTATGGGAATAAAATTGACGTTCTTTTAAAACCATTCAAACTGGACATTTCTTTTTAAGTAATAATGACAATATTACTTGGATACAGGGGAACAGACTTCCTTCCTAAAATTCTTTGCCCATAGAAGTTGTTACAACTCTTTGAAAAGAAAGTAAATAACAGATAGAACACATTTAAGAACTTTATATGCATTCTCTTTGGTCTAATAACTCTAGCTCAACAATATAAAGAAATGATTAGAATGTGCACAAGTATTTATGAACAAAGACGCTAATGGGTCAAACACTTCACAATGTGTTTAGTTACAGAACAGCAAAGAAATGAGAATAGTGAGTTACCAACAGGAAGAGGTTATGGAACTCACTCCAGGTGCAGTAATTGAAAAACTAGACACAAATTAATTTGTCAAAAATTCTGCAGTACCTTAAAAATTCTTAGATTGTTCAGTGAGAACTGAGGCAGTAAATCTCTCAAGCAGCATGCTCCAAATTTTATGTTGTTTTGTTTGTGTATATAGAGGAAGAAGAAATAAACATAATGCTTAAAACTTAGTCAGTGACTACTTCTGGGAATGGGGTTACTGGTCATTATAGTTGTAGTGTGTGTGTGTGTTATAGTATTTTTATGCTAGATGTACATTATTTGTATTTTCAGAACAATAAAAGACTTCAGAAATGTCAAGCATTCTTGAAACCCATGTTAAATGCCAATTCAGCAAAACTTTTCAGGACCTCAAACCCAGAACAAGGGGGACTCCCCCTTACTCTTTGTTTCTCTTGACGTTTATCTGACACTGTGTGTATTGCAGTCATTTCTCTACCTCCCCCACTGCTATGTCTTCACTGTGCACGCTTCAGCCTGTGCCATGTTACCCTGGGCTGTAGAAAGCTCTTACTGCACTGTATCAGATAATTTCTTGTGTCCTCACCTCCAAAACACCCTGAGTACCACACTCCGTCCAGCTCAGGTCCCTGTACCCTTCGGCATTGGTTACTTTTCTATTGCTGTGATAAAATGCCATGACCAAGGCAACAAGGTTTTATTGGCTTGTGGCTTCAAAGGAATAAGAGTCCCTGACCACGGCAGGTAAGTGTGGTGGCCTAAGTTGAGAGCGCACATCTTATACTGCATAAATGAAGCAGAGAGAATGAACTGGGAATGGTGTGTAGCTCTGAAACCTCAAAGCCTGCCCCCAGGACATCTTCTCTCCAGCAAGGCTACACCTCCTAAACCTACTCAAACAGCTCCACTAGTTGGGTACCAAGTCTTCAAATATATGAGCCTATGGGGGACATGCTTTTCCAAACCACCACACCCTCTGACTATTACTAACTCACAGACCCACCCAGACTGGCCTCCTAACAGCTGTCACCTCCCCAGACAGGCTTCTGCCATCCAACAGACATCTTGCTTCTTGTTTCCTCCTCCCTGCACGACATCCCCTCTGTGATTGGTGTACCCCACATTCTAACCTTCCCCAACTCTTTGCCTAAATTCTCTGAATTTCCTCTTCCTAAAACTCAACAGCTAAACTAAACCAAAATGAAAGTCTGTAACCAGAGGCAGAGCTTTCTGTCCCATCTGCCTGACTATACCCAGCAGTCGCTTCTCAAATTACCACTAGAGGTTTATATTAATTATAAATGCTTGGCTGATAGCTTAGGCTTATTACTAGCTAGCTCTTACAATTTAAATTAACCCATATTTCTTATCTGTGCTTTGTCACATGGTTCATAGCTTGTTACTTCATTTTCTACATGTCTTGTTTCCTCGGCCACTGCAGGAACTGCCAGGCAACTGCCCTGATTCTGCCCTTCTTCATCTCTGTCCTCAGTTTGATCATACTGCCTAAACTTACCTCGCTTCACCATTGGCCAAACAACTTTTATTATCAACCAATGAGAACAATACATATTCACAGCTTACAGAAGGATCCTCCATCCAACTCAAAAGTTGGCAAAGGGTTACAATAAGCATTTCTCCAAAGATGATGGGACAATGAGGTATCACCTCAGACCTAGGACGGCTGTTAGCCAAACACCAATGGTGAGCTGACAAAAGTAAGGAGAGACTGAACCCTTAGACACCGTTGGTGGGAATGTAAAGTGGTGCAGCTGGAATATGGAGGCTCCTCAAGGCAATCGAAGGGAGGACTAGTCCAGGCCCTAGTGATCTCACTCTTATGTCTTGGTTTGGGTTACTACTGCTGCAACAAAACACCACAAGCAAAAAGCAAGTTGGGGAGGAAAAGGTTTATTTGGCTTATGCTTCCGCATCACTGTTCATCACTGAAGGAAGTCAGGACAGGAGCTCAAACAGGGCTGGAACTTGAAGGCAGGAGCTGATGCAGAGGTCATTGAGAGGTGCTGCTTACTGGCTATCAGAATATTGAAACAGTGGTCCCCAAGGCACTGAACCTTCTCAGCAACAGGCTGAAGTCCTGGTACCACCCAGAGGAGGAATTTGTCTCCCAGGAAGAGCTGTCACACAGTTCTGACAACTTGTCAGACAACCCTGCAGGAGAGACTAAGCTGCGACAATGACCTTGACCAGGACTGCTTAATTCTTCATACTGCTTACTCTCTATGTGAACCTAAGCCTCATCCAGGATCACAAAGATGGACTTGTGGGGTTATGGAGACACTGGCCCTTTATTTGTTCCTCTTCCCAAAATGACCACATTGAATAAATCTCCTCTATTTCACAATCTTACTTGCCTCGTTAACTGGCCTATTGAGGACAAGTGGCCGAGGACAAGTGTCAGATCCAGCAGCTCCAGTAGCACTACTACAGTAGAAGGCACACGTAGGTCTCACTTCCCTTCAACGCGAGTTCCAGTCTTCACTTGGGCTGTAAGGCCAGGCCAGAGAAGCTGGTGACATTAAATGGCAAAGTTCACTTTTGGCCAAGCATTCTGGGCTTCCGTCAGGCTGAAGAGAGAGCAAATCTCAGCCCTGTTTATTGGCTATTAGACTTTGAGAAATTAAGTGTCTTCTCTGGGCTGCCATTTCTGCTAGGAAATGGAGATGAGATCTGTTATCTTACAGAGGTTTGAAGACTAAACAAGACACAGAGTAACACGAAACACCATACCCAGCCCCCAGCAACGAATTTTGGTTCCTTCTTCCTCCTGACTCTGGACTTCAGGATTCTAGCCATTGGTGCAAAAAAGCCAGCTGAGCTCTGCATTAGGTGAACAAATATGTTGGCTACACTCACATCCTGATGCTAGTGAGGATCCCAGCTGCCTTGGAGGAGAGTCTTTGTGATGATGAACAGAAAATTGGGAGCAAAATAGCACTTAATAAGAAAAATATTGTGCTACAACCTTGCTACAAGGCTGGGGTCATGCTCAGTTGGTAAAGTGCTTGCTACACAAGCTGGGACCTGAGCTTAGACACCCCCGGCCCCCCGAATCCATGGAAGCTGAACACCTGCCCTGAAATCCCGAGTGAGATGGGAGGTGGAGGAAAATCCTCTAAAGTTCATGGGCCATCTAGAAACACAGATATGAAAAAGGAACCCCATCTTATCTCAAACAAGGGGAAGTGAGAACTGATACCCCAGGTTGTTCTCCATCTTCACCCTTCTAGGAACCACAGAGAGAAAGCTGAAGGACAGAAGGATGCCTCACTTTTCAAACTCAGGGCTGGCCATAGATAGGAGCACTAGCTGGTGTGCCCAGAGGTGGGACTGTGCTCACCAACTGAGATACACTTGCACTCAAATGTTTCAAATTCTATTTTTATGTTAGTTTTTAACTGGCAACACAAAACCTTATCATTTATTTATATTAAAATAAACATAGGAATATTAGGATGAAATGTGAAGGGTTTGGGTTTTGCTTTTGTTTTTGGTTTATTGTTATTGTTGTTTAGTTTTGGTTTTTAGTGGGTTTTAAAGACTAGAATGAAGAGGAGGCATACCCCATTCATACGGGCTGTTGTGAGGTAGAAAGGTTTAATAAATGAAATGCTGTGGGCTCCCTAAATTCTCATGAGATCCATCTATGGCAGCTCCAGGCTGCCTCTCCAAACAACACTGTCAGAGAAACCAGAGACCAGTCACCAACTTAACATATAAAATCAGAGAAGAAAATTCAAGTTCATCTTGAAAAGAATTGGCTCAAACAGTGCACAAGCCAGAGACAGTTGACAAAGTGCTACCTGGCGCCAGGCTGCAGGGTTGACGGTCCTGGAGGATGTTTCCATTCTGTGCCTGGGATGAAAGGCCTTTGCGGACATCCCATGGGCCGAGGCAGGTGCCCTTGTGATGGAGGCAGATAGGGAATGGGCCACTCACTCTCCTACGTGCAAAAGGAAGCCCTGAGGTCAAATGCTGCTGTGGAGAGCAAGGTTCCAAGTCAGCAGACATCAAGGGTGGCAGCATTCTTATTTCTGGGCATTGCTTATGTTCTGAAAGCGACTCATCTCATTGTATGAAAAACACAAGCCAGGGGCAAAACTCAGCCAGAATCCCCTTCTCCAGCAGATAACAACTTCTGAATGTGTAGTAGAATTTTGGTGCAGCTGTCTTTTAGACTTATTTCATTTTTAATGGAGTGTATGTGTGAGGGGAGTGTTATGTACATGTGAGGGCAGGTGCCTACAGAGTTCAGAAGAGGGTGTAGGATCCCCTAGAGATAGAATTACAGGAGGTTGTGAGCCACCTCTCATGGGTGCTGGGAGAACTCTTCTATAAGTACAGTATGCACTCTTAACCACAGCCCCTTGGTGTTGTATTTGTGATAGACAAATGGGTTGATGTATGTCTGTGGATGTGTGTCCAATTTAAATCAATGATCATACTATCCACAATGTCCTGTAATCTACTTTTCACTAAATATTGTGAGCATGTTTTTACTAGTATGTTCTAAAAATTACTAGTAGTTCATATTTTTATAATGTATTACATATTAAACGTATAATAAATGACATATTAAACATATAATAAATGTACATTGTACATATACATTGTACATGGGCATTTATACATTCATGTACATGTACATTTCAATGTATAAATGCCCAAGATTATTGGGAATTTATTCCTGATTTTCAGTTATAAACAGTACTAGCAAAATAGCAATCATGTGTTGTACTGTGCACTCATTGACGGTTATTTTACTTAAGTCTCACGGTAATGCCATAAGTTAGGCACCATTATCAGCCCCATTTTTTTTTTTTTTTTTAAAGATTTATTTATTATGTATACAGCATGTATGACTTCAGGCCAGAAGAGGGCACCAGATCTCATTACAGATGGTTGTGAGCCACCATGTGGTTGCTGGGAATTGAACTCAGGACCTCTGGAAGAGCAGTTAGTGCTCTTAACCTCTGAGCCATCTCTCCAGCCCTTATCAGCCCCATTTTACAGCTGCAGAAACACAGAGAAAAATCACGGAACCTACCCCAAGGTGACAGAGCTCGGAGGGCATGCACCCAGGATGTGTACCCAGGACGTACAGGCAGGACCTGAAGACAGGCAGTCTATTGACCATCGAGAAATCTCGCTGAGGTTCAGCTTCTTCATCAACACAAATGTGAAGGAAGTCCCTTCCAATACTTGGTCCACCTCATAGCTGAGGACAACCTACAGCAGGGGTAAACACAGGAGCCATGCAGTCAGGGTAAACGCAGCAGTCATGCAGCAGGGTTTTTCCGAGCCTAGCAAGCCTGCACCATTTCTTAGCAGACTGCATTCCCAAGGCTTAGCTTTTCTGTCTGAAAAGTGGGGATGACAAAAGTTTCTGCTTCACTGGAATGCTTTGAGAAATAAGGGAGAGGATGCTAAGACAATGCTCTGAAGCTGCACACAACTGGTGAGACACACACAACTTGTGGTGGAATAATGCTGTCTAGTTTGACTGAGGGACTCACCGAGACTGCAATGTCCCAGTATGCAGTCCTTGGAGAACTGATAGTTTTCTTATTCTAGGGAGACAGCTCAGCTGACAAATCTTATTGAATGAACAGGGGGCTGTGTGTTAGATCCACTCCCCAAACCCACATTTTAAAAACAAAACAAGCCACCACAGCAGCCACAGGTCTGTAATTCCACTGACAGGAAGATTACCCAAAGCAGTGAGCTTGAGAGCCTGCCTCACAAGAGAAGGTGGAGATAGATTGAGGAAGACAACTGACCCCAGCCTGTGATCTCCATATACACCTAGTATTTACCAGCATGTGTGTATATCTATGCATACACATCTGTACCTGTGTATATACGTGCATGTATACCTCATGTGTGAATATACACCTGCACATGTGCATATACGCCTACATATGTGAACATGCACGTACATCTATGTGTGTATATAGATGCATGTACACCTGCACACACACATACACACTTTCATGCATGCACATACAGGAGAGGGGGGGCAATTAATCCAAGCAGCATCCAATTTCCTCTAGGTCAGGAGTTTCACCTACCATTAACAGCTATGACAAAGGATTTAGCTAAAAGCCACATGTGACAGTCAGTCATTCCTTCCCAGACCAGAGACTGGGGAGCGTGAGTTCTCTGCCCTCTGTGTCTTGGCCAGATCCAGGACTAAATGTCCTTGGGGGCGGGGGTAAGGAGGCCAGGCAGAAGAATGATACTATGGACGAGCAGGTGCCAGTGGCCATCTGTGTCCTCTCAACAGTCTCTGGAAGTCTGCCACCACAGTTCCCTTGCAGAAAGGTTTGCTTTTCCTACTAGTAACTGGACTAGAGACTTGTTCTCTGTGGGTGAACAAGTCCTTGACATTTGCTATCCTAGGAAGGTGCTGTCCTCTTCTCAGGGGCTGTTGTGTATTCAGGTGATGCTCCATGATGACATCTCTGTGGTGTATACAGGTGATGCTCCATGATGACATCCCTGTGGTGTATACAGGTGATGTTCCATGATGTCATCTCTGTGGTGTGTATAGATAGTGCTCCATGAGGACACCCCACAGGAGAAATGAAAAGGCTTCATTGTCACCCTCCTTCCCTGGAGGACAGCACACAGACTGACGCGTCACCAACTAGCTGCTCCTTTTAGTCCCCCAAACCACCTGAAGATGTGGAGGCAGCCAGCACCCAGAGGTCTAAGACCAGCCAAGAGGACAGACACGCTGAGCTGTGTTCCGCTGGCCCTCTTTGACAACCCCCACCCACACACTGCTTACACAAACCTGATAAAAATCCCACTCTTCTTTCCACTTTCTCATGGTTTCTTCTCACACAGGAGGCTGTTTCAGAGGCTGCAAAACAACCACTTTGCCATCCCCTCTCCATCCCTCCCATGAGTACCTGAAAGCGCTTTTCTGTCTGAAGCCAGTGTAGGCCTTTCTCTGTGTTGACCTGGAGAAAGAAGCCAGACAGGCTGAAGTGAAACGAGGGGGCCTTAGGCAGGCAAGGTGAAACAGCAACACACCTTTTCATAGTTAAACAAATGCAGCAGAAACAAATGTAACACATCCTTACATCATTAAACAAATGCAGCAGAAACAAATGTAACACATCTTTGCCCAGTTAAAATAATATTCCACAACACGCCTCCTCTGCAGCCTTTTTAAGCTTGTATTTTATAGTTTCTTCAATGAGAAATACAGACTCCTGGAAAAAATGGACCTTTCAAAGCAAACCAAAATTCTGGTTCTGCCTGTAGAGGTGTGGAAGAACGGCTTTACTGAGTGACTTTGAAGAAACCTCATCCAAACTTCTCCTTTGGTAGATGGGACACCTGCAACTCAGAGAAATGGCTTCCTCCAGATAGGATGTAGTTGTGGTGACCAGAAAAGGACATTGGCTTCTACTATACAGGAAAGACCTCTGTCACCAAGTGGCTGAGACCCGAGCTGTGACAGTAATCCTACTGCCAAGTAAGGGCAACTTAGCCCTCACCCCATCCCTACAAGAGAGCAAGGGAACTTCTTACGAATTCAAGGACATTGTCATGTGTTTCCAAAAGAGCAATTGAGGGCTCCCTTAGGTTCCTGATGTCACATTACCATTCTGTGCTGCATTTTAATGGTTGACAGGAAGTAGGCACTGTGGTAGTACTGTGTTCCCCAAAATATTGTGCACGCTAATAAACTTATCTGGGGTCAGAGAACAGGACAGCCACAATATTCAATACAGAGGATAGGCAGTGGTAGCACACGCCTTTAATCCTAGCATTCCAGATGCAGAAATCCCTCTGAATCTCTGTGAGTTCAAGGCCACATTGGAAACAGCCAGGCATGATGACTCATGCCTTTAATCCCAGGGAGTAATGGCAGAAAGATATACAAGGCGTGAAGATCAGAAACTAGCAGCATTTGGCTGGTTAAGCTTCAGGCTTTTGGGCAGCAGTTCAGCTGAGATCCATTCTGAATGAGGACTCAGGATTCCAGTCTAAGGAAATAGGGTCAGCTGAGGAACTGGTGAGGTGAGGTAGCTGTGGCTTGTTCTGCTTCTCTGATCTTCCAGCATTCACCCCAATACCTGGCTTCAGGTTTGATTTTATTAATAAGACTCTTTAAGATTCATACTACAGGGCGACAGTGGCTTTTTAGGGTCCAGGGCTTCTGCAGCCTTTGTTTCTGGTCTCCAGAGTTCTAGTGCCACTCTCTCACCCTATACACATGTAGCTCATTTCAGCTATGTGTTGACTTGCTACAACATTTCGCCTTCCAGAAGGTTGCCTGAACTCTCCCTGAGCTTCAGCCATGGAAAAACACTGCAAGCTGGAAGCCAGGGGGAGGAGAAGATGCAGAAGCCTGTTTTCCTGGATGGTCCAGGTTGGAGGGTTAGAACACACAGAGGGGAGGAGGTAGCAGGGTCTCTGAGGAACGTCCTAGCAGCAGGAGTAAGGAAACTGTAGCCAAAAGCTCCCTGGGGAAGAAGAGCACTCAGTTCCAGCATCCCCAGCCTGGACCAATCGTGCATCACCTCAAGCTGACATTTAAAGATAAGCCCTACAGAAAAGAGCCTATAACTTTTAGAGAGTAAGTAGTGATTAGAATTTCTGAGTTTGGGTGAGGAATTACTCTTGTATGGCACTCTTGAGAGAGAGAGAGAGAGAGAGAGAGAGAGAGAGAGAGAGAGAGAGAGAGAGAGAGAGAAATGAAGAGGCCAGGCCACCCCTCCAATCATACCATTGAATGTCGGGTAGAGACAAGACAGCATCCACAGAAGTACTCCAGAGCTGACTCTTTTCTTTACCTCCAAGCTTCCCCTGTGTGGAGACAGGTTCCACCACACGATTACAAAGCATTTAAAGCCCTCTTCCCACAGTGACTGTAAGAATCAACACTCCCCTTAGTTTCCCCTGCCCCTCTTCACTCTCAGATACAGTCTGGTGTGGTAAACAAAAGCACCAGAAAAAGTCACCCTGGAGAAGGAAGGAAAATATGCGTCCCAAGACCCCCTGAAGGTTGTCACAATATTAGCTGGTTCCATTCAACCAAGTCACAGTTTAACAGTTCCCAGCGAACTGGGACCCAGAGTTCCGAGTCTCAACCAGAGCCGACACTGAGACATCAAGACTGGAGCCTTTAGTTTCAAACATTCATGAAGATGGATGGGAGTGTGTGTGACAACATGGGAACCTCTTTCAGGGAATGTCTTCATCAAAACGATCTTATCTTTAAGGACTTCAGTTCCAAACAAGATCACATTCTGAAGGGACCAGGTTAGGACTCTGATGGGAAAATTCAGCTCCTAAAAGATATCTAACAGGAACAGCAAGCCTGACAGGCTGGTAGCTGTGGGTTCCCTCCCAGCTAGACTCAGTTTCCCCTACGTCAGCACATGGTAAGGCCACCTTATTTTATATTATTTTGAAACACAGTCTCGTGTATCCCAGTCTGGCTTTGAACTCAATATATAGCTGAGGATGATCTTGAACTTCAGATCACCTGCCTCCAAGTCTCCCACTTCCAGACTGTTGGTATTACAGGTGTGTATCACCACACCTGCAACATGCAATGCTTCGAATCAAGCCCAGGGCTTGGTGCGTGTCAGGGAAGCGTGTGTCAGGGAAGCGTGTGTCAGGGAAGTGTGTGTCAGGGAAGTGCGTGTCAGGGAAGTGTGTTGGGGAAGCACTCTACCAACTGAGTTACAGCCCCAGGCCCCAGCCTAATCGCCATGCCTGAGGGACCCCCTGGCAGTAGGATCAGGATCCATCCCTGGTACATAAGCTGGCTTTTTGGAGCCCACTACCTATGGTGGGACACCTTGCACAGCCTTGAGGCAGGAGGAGGGACTTGGACCTGCCTCTACTAAATGTACCTCCCCATAAGAGGCTTACATTCTTGTAGGAGGGAATGGGAGGTGGGTTGGGAGGGGGAGGCTGGAGGGGTCGGAGGAGGGAAGAGGGGGATCTTTGATTGGTATGTAAAATGAATAAAAAATTTTCTTTAGAAAAAAATTAATAAAGGAATGAAGGAGTTCTATGAAGAACAAGAAGAAGAAGAGGAGGAGGAGGAGGAGGAGGAGGAGGAGGAGGAGGAATGAGAGCCTGAATGTGACCCTTGCCTTCTTTCTGTGTCTTCCACCTCGTATTCATCGCTCTCCCATGGTGTGTTATGGCCTCTATGGTGGTCAGTTAGACTGGATTAGCGTATCTCCGAGGGTGTTTCCAGAGAGGTTCAATAGGAAGACTCATTTTGAATACAGGCATCAACATTCCATGGGCTGGAGGCCAGGAACGAATAAAAGGAAAGGGCAAGCAAATAGAACTCGTCCGGCATCCCCCCACCCCACCCCCATCCTTCCTGACTGCAGGTGCAGTGTGACCAAACCACTCACACTCCTGCTCTCCTGCTTTCGCTGCGGTGACTGAGCCATGAGCCACAATAAACCTTTCTTCCTTAAGTCACTCTGCTGGGTACTTTGCTACAGCAGTGAGAAAAGCCACGGAAGCAAACCACTCACCCACCCCGTCTGTAAAGCAGTGTAATTTTACTGGAAGCAGGAACTGTAAACATAAATGCCAGGTGCACGCATGAGAAGCAGAAGATGAGAGAAACACACGTGCAAACTCTCAAGGAGAGGTCAAATGGTGTGGTGGAGAGACTGTGATTAATCCAGCAGAAAGGACGGAAAGGAAGAAAATAAAACCAGAAGTATCAGCTAAGGGAGGTTATGGGTGGGGGAGGCAAATACTGGAATCTGGAAATAATGAGGAGTCATTGATAATGCTTGAGCAAGGGAGTGGCCATGACAGGCACTTGGCTGCGCATGCGCTAGAATTTCCTCCTCTGTAAGTAAATGAGTTGGCATGCTGGGGAGGGCTGCATCCCTCTCTGTGGTGCCAGGTCATCTGAAACCTGAGTCCAGAGTAACCGCGCTGAAAGACTGACTCCGTTTTGTTCTTCTTTCCAAAAGCTGCTTTCTTGTCGTCTTCTCACTTGTAATGTGTACACTACCTCTAAAGGGACACCTTGAAGTTACTTAATATTGGTCCCCAAAGCCCCAGGACAATGGGGACAACTCCATGGGGACGCCATCGGCTCCCTTGCAATCACTGATACAGACAAATGGGGATTGCCCGGGAGGATAATGGTTTCGGTGTACTGAAAAGGAGGCCCTGGCATGAAGTTATGGGCTTGAGTGATGAGGAGAGGCTGATTCCACTCCAGATAAGCCTGAGAGCGGAGAAGAGAGCAGCGTGCGCCTCTCTCCAGTGGCCATTTGATAGGGTACCTGTGCAGGGCCCTGGAGAGAGGTTCTGGCCTGCTGTGGATCAGGCTGCTGTTTACCCATCCTAAGCCCCATTTACTAGCTGAAAAGCAAAGACTTTCGCATTGACCCTAAGTGAGGCTGTTCTCTGAGGCTCCAGTTGTCCAAGAAGTGGGGAAGAGAAAATAAAAAATGCCAGTTTCTGAACAAAGCAATATTTATCTGCAAGATGAAAGGGGCAGTTTCAGAATAAAACTAGATTCCCATTCCCAACTCTGTATGGAAATCAACTCATCGTGAGTCTTAGGCCTCAATTCGAGACCTGGCACTCAGAAAGTGTTAGAGAGAGAGGCGTCCAAGGACTTCCTCAAAAGGACTCTGATAGCTCGGGAAGGAACACCGAGAACATGGGTTTTCATGACGTTAAAGAACTTCTGGATAGCCAAGGAAACAACAGAGCAAGTGAAGAGATGGCCTTCTGGAAGGCAGAGAAGTCTCTGTTAACTACACACCTGACAGAGGATTAATAGCCGGAATATTCAAAACACCAAATACCAAACAGTGCCATCAACAAATGGCCTATGAGAACAGACAGTTCTCAAAAGATGATGCACACAGGACTAAGAAATATGAAACATGTCCAACATGCTTAGTCAGGGCAGTGCAAACTAAAATTGCACTGGCGTTCCATCTCCC